GTGCGGAATTAAAAATAAATAAAGTAAGTAGCCTATGTGTTCTTCCAGACTATGCTCTAAACCTGTGCCAAATTTCATGGAGATCCGTTCAGCCGTTGAAGCTACAAACTCTAACAAACATCCATCCATCCATCGTAACTTTGCATTTATAATTTTTATATATAATATTGTTTTATTTTTCAGAGAATTAATGGCTGAGCTTGTAAAACGTATGGGCGAGAAAGCGGGGCCGCGCGCGTGACGCTCACCCCCCGCGCCCCCAACGCCCCCAGCGCCCCCCGGCCGCAAGCCCATCGCCATAGTGGGCGTCTGACGCACGCCCATACACCAATATCACCTCTACACGCATACAAATAAGAGCCACTCTCCCGCCACAGGTACGTGGCTAACAAAACTATGGAGTCGTGTGAAGTGTTTTAATTGTAAAATAAACAGTCTACTTCCGTCTTAATTACTAGCGTGATAAGGGTTATATTTGAATCGCAGAGTTGTACGGCCTCTATACTCATAGCATTTATGTGCATTCTAAGCATTTTTGTGTACAAATTTACTATAGTTTTAATGAAGTGTTGAAAATCAATGTAATATGGAGCGTGCATTTAATTGATGGAATTTGTCCGATTTTTTATATATAAGAGTTTTGAGCCAAAATCTGCCACATTTTGACTTTGAATATTTTAAATGCTGTTAGACAATATAAAATCTTCACTTTTTGTACTGTTTGTTTATTTGACTAAATTACATTATTTGTAATTATTATTTAACTTGTGGCTGATTCCATGTATGACTTTTGTATGGAAACCTTTATGAAATGTTTTTATTCCAAGTATTTGTATATTATATGCCTTTTTAGTATTAAGCGTAACAGATGTAAATAAATAATAATATTAAACATGAAGTTCGATATTATTCCTAATGTGGTTGCCATAAGGTCGAATATTGTTTGAATCTGGATTTAACGTTCATACAAATCAGTTTATAAACCTCGCGTATACGTAAGAATGGTCCTGTTTAATTTGACAAGAAAATATATTTGAAAATTTGAATTACATTTTTAATAATAATAAAATCTGTCAACTTTAAAGTTATTTTTATCAATTATAACTGACTTTAAAAAAAAAACTTATATTTTTGTCCGAAATAGTTGTAGACTAAATCGACTCCATTCAATTCTCTGTTCCAAATTTCTAGGGACCTGATATTTATCTTTTTACACTCGAATGTTTTGCGTAGTTTTTACAAGTTAAATATATTTCTATATTTTAAAGTAAATAATATAAATTACGTTTATTTAAAGATCTGATGAAATAACATTAACAAGTATTTTATATTTCGTATTATTTAAAAAATATACGTCATTTCTATGAAAGTAGAATATGCGGGATTAAAATTGGATTCAATAAAATCGAGAAATTAAGTAAAAAAAAGTTGTTTAGTTAATATAGTATTTTTTAAAGTTTAATTTTCTTTTGTAACGTGACACCACAATATGTATACTGCCATTAATTATATTGTAACATCAAATTTCATTCGTAACATAAATTGATTTTTCATTTTTATTTCACTTGTCATAAAATTGTGATATTCCATCAAATTTGTTTATAAACTCCTTTGAAATTTCTATTCATTTTTGACCGACTTCCCGAAAGGAGGTACTCAATTCGTCTGTATGTTTTTTAATATGCAGTTATCAATTTTATACTTATTTAAAACTATAGTGTGACTAAATGAAATAGATTAGTTTGACAATTCATTTGAAATATAGTAGGGATGGGTTGTATAAAATCAGTTATCGATTTTCGATTTTTGATCTTATAGAAGTTAGAATCGATAGATTCATAGATATAACTTATGAATGAAAAAAAAAACACTGTTTTCTCAAATTTATAATAAGGTCATTATTAATTTGAGGCCAGAACCATTACAAATAATAAGAGTAAATAAACGTTTATTACTACTACAGCCGTACGTAATCGAATCGGATTTCGCTATTATTTCTGTGATCGCTAAATTCTCTACACTATAATCATGCTAGTAAATTAATAAAAAAGAAAATAATAATTTTATTTAAGTTTGATAAATATTGAAACCGAATATCGATAGTTCATAATTGTTCGCTGCGTGTTTGTATCATCACTACGATCCTTGTCTATTAAGTAAGGCATTTACCGTCATACAAATTTAATTCGATACTTCATATGCGTCATTTATCAAATTAATCTATCATAATTAGACAAACTATAGAAAAGACATTTAATTCATATCATTTAGCTAATTTATACCTAGTGATTTTATGTTTTTTTTATAAGCACAAATTTCGGAAAATCATAAACTTTATGTAAACAAAATGAATAGACTGTTTGTCGCCTTATTGTTAGTGTTTACTATATAGCGTTTTTATACGACGAAAAATGTTAAAAAGTTTGACACAGATGTAATTATACTTATAGAGTGGACATTACGATTAAGAGCAATTTAATTTTTTTAAAATAAATAAGAGTGTATGTAAAATAAGTATGTATTTTAATTAAAAATACTAAAATCTTGTCCCACCAATTTTTATTTTTTCTGTTAACAATGTAACGTGTAAAATATGTGATGGAAATGTCGGATTGTGTTACTTTATCTGAGAGTGACGTCATTTTTAAGCTAGATAGGTCATATGAGCCTATCAGCCAGTGGTGGGACAGTCCCTAAGGTGCTTACAATTTCTAGAAGCACATAGATAAATCAAAATCAGTCGGTTGAGCATTCTGTTTTCTCTCTTTCTTTTTAGAATGTAAAGAATATATTATAGCCCCCCCTTGATAAAGGCAGTTTTTTTTCGTAATGTCCTGTCTATTGATGTAATATATATCTTTGTTGACAAATGTTGGCTCTATATTTGAACCAATATGCAAATGCAGGAGTTTTGGTACTTTCGTATTAATATTTGACAACTGTCAAATATTACAGTCGTTTGACAATTTGCGTGTGACATCGCATGAATCGTGAAAACTAAAAGCGTCCGCATACCTGTAACTAAAATATCGCACAACTGTTTAGTCTTGCTTTGATTCCTATATGGAGGTGTGTTACTCGATATTTAGTTGTGCAACTAAACAGTTGAACGCTGCGAAACAATCGACAATCGCACAATAGTCGTGCGATAGTTTAGTCAAAGGACGCCCGCTCTAAATGAAAATGTTACTTTACTTGTAATTTGACTTTGTAGCTATGTAAATGAATGAAATCCGGTTGTTTATTTAAGAATTTAACAAATATTGTAATTCATATAGATACGTCCATACAGACATTCAAATTAAAGAAAAAAAACATGTCAAACATTTATATAGAAGAAAAAGATTTTTGTCAGTTACAATTTTACTATGTTTATGAATACGTTTTATTTTTAAACAACCACATATAGTCCTAATAAAAATGTAAATTATCTTAGAATATATAAATAATGAGAGTTTTATTTTAAAATCATATGCGACTTAAAATTACAAAAATGACATAAAAACTGTATAAGGCATTATAATAATTGACTTCCAGAAATATAAGACTCCACATTTTTATATTATCATATAAAATTAATATAAAAACAGAAAGAATAATAACAATTATAATAAATTAAAAACCGTTCAGTGTTTATTTAAAATAAAAAGGCCTTGAGGCTATAATTTTTTTTATGTTTTTGCATATGGCAATCGTATAGGTTTTGCGTGTTGCCATTTACGGTTGTGTGGTAAAAATAATACGTATACTTCTGAATTCCTTATATTTAGTTTTAGTTTTTTTACTGGTTTGTAAATTACGTAATTTTTTTCTAAATGTTTATTTATATTTTAATATATATTGATTACGTGTTTTTTCGTTTTATTTTAACAACTGAAAATTAACACTTTCAGACTGTGGATATAACCTCATAATTAACCCAAAAAGTGAGTTTAACCTGATTCTTATAAGAGAAAATTCTTTGGCTTTATACAAATCGTCATGATTTCCTAAAACTATTTAAAAATATAATAAAAAAGGTGCAATTTGGCATCGACTATTACCGCAATAAAAGGTTCAGTAGAGTTGATTTTTTTTAATTTTTCTTTATTTGTAGTTTGTCATATTCATGTCACTAATCTGTCCTTTCAAGGTAATTCCTAGAAATAACGTCCCTCAGGACATTTAGTGGTGCATTACATTTAGGGTTAAAATTAAAAAAGAATTTATTTTAAAGTAATATCTGTTTAGTAAGTTTCGATTCTATCTATGATTTTTCCATTTTGCCGCTTTTATTAAACTGTGTAATATAGTAACAACTAGCAATAAATCCAGTTAATTTTGTATTTGAGAGATTTATCAATTACTCGTATATTCTATATGAAATGATATTTTTGTGATTAAATTAAGTTAATTTAAAATATTTAGTTTTGATTTTATTTTGTTGTTTCATTAACTAACCACTAGTGATACTACAAATTTTAATAACGCAGAATTTCATAACAATAATATTCAATTCAATGTCGTATAACGGGGCAATTTTAGTTGGCACGCCATTACGTGACGTCATCTCTTGCAATTAACGCCATCTTTATATCATACGTCTAATTAGAGAAAAATTAAAAAATCGAAAATTAAACAGCTTAATTCAGTCTAAATACAAAAAACTACCTTTATATTATAATTAAACTCTTAAATAAACCTAATATAATTTTATAATTACTGTCAACAAGAAAGTAAAAACAAAACAAAAAAAGCCGTTTCTCGGTTAACTATTTTAAAAAAGGAACAATATTTCTGTTGTCAAATTTAAAATCTAGAACATAATGTCAGAAAATGTAATAAAAACAATTTCACTCGACATTTGATTACTAAAATACGTGCGTTTGTTAGAAATTGGCGCCATAATTCAATCAGGATGCGAGCGCCAATAAAAGTTTTTAAATTAGGTCTTTATTTTTTTTTAAAGCAAACACATTCGGTAGTTCTAACGTTCTGCCACATTATAAAATCTACATACAGATTCAAAATAAACTATAGAATATAGCGCCGATTGATTTGTTGGTGTAATTATTTCGCGAATGTTTTTTTTTTATCGTAAATCAGTGTGTACTTATTAAAAATTATATTCGACTGAGATTAATTTAGTTTTATTTAGATCATCCACTGAATGAAATGAGATTGCAGCGAGCTGCGTCCTATATTTTTTTACGACAGATGAGTCAAAGTTGAAATATAAATTTCTATTTTGTTGTATATTCAAATCGAGCGTGTTTCTCTGTAAATATAAAGTTACTTGCGTTCAAGCGTTGTTTATGAACAACTCACGTTCTCAGTTCCTTTTAACATGTACTTATTTAAATCTTATTTATTAAAGTGAAAAATGCATAATTAATTTCCATTATTTATTCGATACTTTCCACGATAACTTTCTTGTTTTAAATAACATTGTCCTCACTAGAGTTATTTATATTTGGCACGGTATTTGGCGTTACCATACAATACTGACACTCCTATTGTTGACTGATTCATATTTCTTTGGTTTTCATTGGTTTTAATACGATCTAACGAAAACTTTCCCGCTTAAATTATTATTTTTATTGAATACATGTAAGTTATAAGAAAAAAAAAGTCTCGTTAATTGAATGAGTTGTAAATGCTTCGAAGCGGAAAGTTTCCGCTTAGATTGTTGTAACTTGAAAGTTAGGTGACTAACGGCTGTATACTGAAACGATTCACTTCCGGTCGTAATCGTGGCTAGTCAGACGTTAAATTACAATTGAATTTAGATTTCTAATTAATGATGGCATATTTAAATTTCGTTTCAGTATACCCGTAAGACTTCTAAAGACTTTAGGTGTCAAAACAAACCTTTCAATTATCTAAACAAGTAGAAAAAGAACTAACATCTAATAAGACTATTTAACAATATATCTGCAAAAAAATATTAATTTTCGCATCCGAAACTTTTTGAACTAATTCATTTATCTAATTTATACTTACAATTCTAAAATTGACACCTAAACAGTCCAAATAAATAATTCATTAACACCAGACGTCTAAGTTACAACGAGAACTTAAGAAAAAACAATATTGCACTTAGATAGTACCGTTTATATAGTTACAAACAACCTTTTTACATAAACATATCGTCTACAACAAACATAATTTTATCGTCGACTTGATGTCCTTGCGTCCTCAACACCGGCTAACAAATAAGTCACAACTAAATATCCCCAAAGATTACTAATACTCAAATTAGTTGCAACAATTCGTAAAGAACATAAAACTTTACATTTTATAAATATATGGCTTTGGGAGTTTTTTAGACAGTTGAAAACATATCAAAAATCCGATTAGGTAAGTATAAAAAAGCAAAATGATAAAATGAACACTTAAAAGCCAGTCGACATTTGAGTAGTAAGCGTAGAGTATATAACATTACAGCAGTCGGTTAGTCACTGATCTGTATAAAAGGATAGGTTAGCTTGGAAATGACAGCTTTTCCGATTGAAACGCGCCAGTTGCTAATTAATTTCAATTCTCATCACCAACGGTCCGTGCCCAGATGGCGAAAATGATATAGGCACAAAAACATGCCTGTCCATTTATAGAGGTCAGTGGTTAAAGTACATTCAAGTGAGCTGCTATCTATTCAAACAAGTAAAAAATAAGACCTCATAATGTAATGACAGATGCGATGAAATAATATCAAGATAATGCAAGTTTGAAAACTTAGTCGCTCATTTCAATATTCTTTAGTTTTAACGTATAAATGTCTTTTGGCCCGCAAAAGGTAACAACGTCGTTACTCGTTACATACATCCACATAGGAAGACGTCATTTGGCAAATAGATTTAAATCCAATGAAAGTGAACTCCCATTAATCCTATACGAACGAACATTAATTAATTATTGCTTTATTTTCATTTGGTCTATCAAATCCATGGCGAGTGATGATTCGTGTAAAAGATAAGTTGTGTGCTGTCCGTGTGCTTATCTTCGATTACCAGCTAGAATAGAAAGAAATAAAGCGTCTCCACAAACAGTTACTACGAGCAGCGAAACTATCAGTAAAATACCTCTAAAAGATGAACACTAGTTATCCTAACGGGATCGCGTCTGTCGACTTCACAAGGCCTGCGGTAAGATTCGTCCTGAGATCACGTTCTTATACTTTAAGTACATTCTATTATTGCGTGTTTCCGATTGCACTGTTACGATTGCAACGAACAGATAAGAGAGTCTTTCGATACCTTCCGTTCACACCACAATTGCATAGTCCAGAGCGAGCGCGGGGCGCCGCGGCCGATGCGGGCGG